TGCACGTTTACGTTGTGAAGTTAATATTGGTGCACTTAAACAACAAATGGAAAAACATGCACATGAAAATAATGAACAAATTGAAGATCGTATGCGTTCATTGAATAAACAATTGAAAGAATATGAAATTGAACTTGATGAAGAAAGAAAAGTGAAACAACAAACACTTCAACAACGTAAAAAAATTGAAATTGATCTTCAAGATTCACGTCAACAAATTGAAGAAGCTAATAAACAAAAAGAAGAAGCATTACGTAATTCACGTCGATTACAAACACAAATTCGTGAAGTAACACGAGAATTAGAAGAAATTCGAGTTGTTCGTAATGATACACTTGCTAGTGCGAAAGAATGGCAAGGAAAAATAAAAACACTTGAACAAACTGTTCAACAATTAATGGATGAAAAAGATCTTGTTGATCGACAACGTCGACAAGCACAAGTCGAACGTGATGAACTTCAACAAGAATTAGCTGCTATTGGTAGTGGTAAAGGTGCATTTATCGATGAAAAACGTCGACTTGAAGCACGTATAGCTCAACTTGAAGAAGAATTAGAAGAAGAACAAACAAATACAGAATTAACTGGTGATAAACATAAAAAATTAGCAATGACTGTTGAACAACTTATGCTTGATCTTGCTGCTGAAAAAGCAAATAATCAAAAAGCTGAAGTAAATTTTTTCGAAAAATTTATTTATTCAGAAAAAATAAACACCGATGTTTTTTTTTCTTTAGGCTGTACGTAGTAATCTTGAACGACAAAATCGAGAATTACGTGAAAAACTTGAAGAAAATGAAGAATTTGGTAAAGGAAAATCTCGAGCAATGCTTGGAGCACTTGAAGCCAAAGTTCATGCACTTGAAGAACAACTTGATGGTGAAGTTCGAGAAAAACAAAAGATTAGTCGAAGTGTTCGTACATTAGAAAAACGTCTTCGTGACGCCAGTGGTCTTGCTGATGAATCTCGAAAACAAGCTGAAGGCTTTAAAGAACAAGTAAAGAAAAAATTATTTTTTGAGAAAATTTTAAAAAATTTATTTTTTTTAAGGCTGAAAAAGCAAGTATGCGTGTACGTAACATGAAACGACGAGAAGAAGAATTAGAAGAAGAAGTTACACAAATGAAACAACGTTTACGTAAAGCTTTACGAGAAAAAGATGAAATTGAAGAGAATCCAGCGTATACACGAACTCGGTAAGAATTTTTATCTTAAAATTATCAGTTAATTTTTTCTTTCAACTACCGAAAAAAGATTATTTTTCAAGTCTTGTATAACATTATTTTCTTTTCATAATTAATCTAAAATCAGAGGAGATTCAGTTATGATCGATCTGATGTCACATCGTATTGTCAGATCAAATGACAATAAAGCAAATGAGGTATTCAAAAAGATCATTTGTTTATCCACTATGCTTTATCAAATAAATGCTTATCCTTTTTCTTTCTCTTGCATAATATTATATATATATTCAAATCTTCAATTATAGTTCCCCTCCTGCCAGGTAAGAATATGATGAGACTGTTTTAAATAAAATAAAAAAATTGACAAAAACCAATTACAGCATGTTTAATATTTATCTGACATTTATTATTAGTTCTAGACAAAATTCCTATGACTTTCGGTGATACGTAAGATTGGATTTATGTTGTTTTGTATTATTTTTATATGAAACATAGCTTGATAAATTAGATTATTTTTTTTGCAATGTTATGTACATATATATTCATATGTTTTTTTCGTTTTATAGCCCTTCAACAGCTCATAATTCGTCAACATCATATGTTCGAACACTTGTAACATCAACAAAATATTATTCCGAATTATCTGATGATGATTTACAATCTGAAGCAACAAACGCAAGTGTATCTGAGACACTTAATGGCGGTGGAAATTCAACTATACGAAACATGTCAATTGGCGAATTCAATAATGGCAATCATTAAAAAAAATATAAAATGAACAAAAACAAAAAAAAGAAAGAGCCAATCAGATTGTTCTCGTATAATCTCTCCTTTCTTTTCCTCTTGTCGCATACACAGTGAGGATTGCTCTCTTTATCTCATTTTATGCGCGCGTTTGTATGTGTTTGTGTGCGTGTGTGTGTGTGTAATTTCATTTTTTTTTCTTTTTTTTTTCACTTCATATATATGCTTACTTATTTTTCCAAATGTGAACATAGCCTTGCTCAGGGTTAGAGCTCTTTCGTTTTTTTTTTTCTTTATTCTTCATTTTATCTCTTCTACCTCTGTTAGACACAAAGTCTTTAAACAAAAAAAACAATCTAACATCGAAATGATTACATTCCATTCTCTACTATAAGATATTGAGCCGCTTATCAAAGTAAAAACACAACAAAAAAAAATCAAATCATTTCTTTATATCTATCTATCTACGCTGCCTTGATGTTATCAGTATTTGGCGTGTGTCTCTTTTGTTCTATGCGTTTCTTTTTCTTTTTTTTATACTTTCTTTCTCTTCAAAACATAAAATATAGTCTATCTATATTCCTTAAAATATATATATATATAAACAAAAAGAAGTTTTGGCTTTTTTCTTTTGATTAAAATTTTTATCGATGACAACAGCAATAGCATATGAATATAAAAGAAAATATACATAATAAACTCATGGAATTGATATAAAAAAGATATGATTGACATAAACGTGCAGTACATGAATAAGCAATAAGACGACCTATATATCGAAAAGCTAATGATTGAGCAAATAGTGATGATGAAGAAAATTTTGTTGTATGACATATAGAATCTAAGAAAAGAAACTATTGAATAATAATTTAAATTCTACAGAAGATAGTTCACATACAAATAGATATTGTTGACCATAAACCAAGAACAATACCATAGGAAAAAAATAGAATATATTTTAATATTAATGGTGGAAAATCATGAATAAGAATTTGTGTTCGAATACAAAATAATAGAAGAAATGTTAATGAATGTACAAGCGTTGTAAATGATACTGAAGTCTAAATTAAAAACTAAGATTGAAGATATTTCTAGATAAAAATGAATCGTTTACCATAAGTGTTACACGTTTAATAACTAAAGCAAATAATAGACTTGAAATTGTTGCACCTAAACCATAGATAATTAACATTTCCGCTGTATGTCGAAGACCATAAACACATGTTATATCAAACTAAATTAAATCAATACTATTGTATTACATTTATCTTGAGGGTGAGAGCAGAGATGGCGGCGCCCTCCCGAAAATTGCTATCGCACTTTCAAAAGGAAAAACTTAGATAAAATACTGAGTGGAGGCGATGGCGTAGAAGTGAGCGAAACTACGGTGATCATCTCACCCATACCCCTTGAATTTTTCTTTCACAATCTTCGGTAAAAATATTTACGAGCACCCGGACATGCAGTCCGATGTCTGAAAAGAGTAGTACCAAATGTAGTTCACCCGAAAACTTCTTGAGGATGAGAAATATGAGTTATTTCTTCCAAAGTTGAATTATAGATATATATATCTTGTTCATATAAAAGCATTCTTTAGTGTTCTATTAGAACAATTCTTTTGTTAAATAGCATTTAATAGACGAACATAGTATCTCAATCAGGCATATAGTATTCTATAAGATAATGTATGATGCAATTCTCTATATTTAAAAGATTTGAGACACAGAAAAATTGCTTTACTTTGATAAAATCTCCAAATAGATAACCTTCTTGATAACCAATAAATAAAGCTAATAAAAAATGTCTATAATGAATCATTTTTGATTCAACAGTGAGTGTATTTGTATTTGAATAATGTATTATTGATAATCGTTTACTCATATTCATTATTGATGTTGACCAATTCGTATTAGCTTGTATACATAAACTAAGTATCGTCAGAAAAATTAAAATAATAATAAAGTAATAACGTGTTGATTCATAAATCCATACTAGAAAACAGAAAATTTTCTTTTTTTGATGAAGTTCAAATTTGGATTTTACCTTGTTTAGTATCTGTTAAATACATTGTAAAATTAATTGGTATTGATTTTTTTAATGATGTTAATACATATGTATTATCATCTTGTTTTTTAGTTAATTGTAAACATGGTAATAAGACACATGATGGAAAACCAATAAATATATATTCATTTTTCCATTGTTGAAATAAAACAATAGCTAAAAAACATATTCCACCAATACTTAATGATAAATGACATATACAATTATAAATAAACATAAATATATTAAAACGTATTGTTAAAATTTTCATATTTTCCATTAATAACGATGTTGATAATTGTAATAAATGATCATAAGTCTTTATTATCATACAACTAAGACTAATACCTGATATACCTGCACTTATAAGTATTAAATAATAGAATGAATGAAAATATTGTATTATTATCCATGTTGAAGTAAATATTGTTGCACAAATAATCGCTATTTGTGAACAATGATCATATGTAAGTACACTAGACATTTTCCAATGATAATGTGTCATTTGTATATGTGATACATGTGCAGCAAAAATAAATGCTGTTATTGATGAACTTAAATGTAATGTTAATAATGATTGAAAACTAGTTTCGAGTGAATAGATAGATGTTTGTAATACTTCAATTGTAAATAAACTAGCTAAAGCAAAAACAGATGCAAATGAACGAAGAAATACTATTCGATAAATCGAAGCAACTGATATAATTGTTGAATTTAAATAATCATCATTTTCTGTTAATGGATCATTTACGGTTAATGAACTTCGTGTTGAGAGAGGTTTTGTTGGTGAAAGTGTTACACGAGATTTATGATGTGCAGGGCGAAGTGCATGAACAGGTGAATCAAGTAAGAATGTTGCATTTTCTAAGAGAAAATCATTATCGGGTACGTGAACAGTTGGTTGACTAATACTTCGTTGTATATGATCATTTATACAATAAGAACAACCATTATGGATTGTATAAAGTGAACGTGTTGTATTAATACGATCATTAATAGAAGATACTGATGAAGTAGAACTGGAACATAGAATTTGTAGATGATCATGTTTTGATGTATGAATAGCCATTTTATAACTATTTCTACGTGGTAAATTATCGTAAAGAAATGACGAATAATAACACTGATGATGCGGAGAAGATTTTGTATAATTTTGAATAAAATAATTATTGTGATGATTATGATTCATATTTTACTATGAAAAAACGTTTTTTTTCTATTTATACGAAATATATCATAATGATTGGAATATTCGATCAACTATTTTTTGATTATAATAAATCTTTAAGAAAACTAACAATAGAAAAAAAGAAAATAATAATAAAAACTTGTCACATGCACCAATGAATATTAATATCCGTTAGTTAGTTGAATCTCATCTTTTCTTTTTCCTATGGTCGACATGTGTCAATTAATATTTCTTGTTTCGAAAGATTTCCGTGTATGTGACTGATATGTAATGTTCTCACTTGCCATCTACGATTAATATATCGAAGTTTACCGTCATAATTGAATAAATAAAATATATTCTAGTTTCTAGTTACTCAAGAATGTAATGTAGATCTATCACTAGTATTTCCGTTTTATTAGCAACATCATATAGCTGACTGATTTGTTCTGATCAGATAATCAAAACAATCATAACACTAGAGTAACTCGATGTCATTCTCATCTTCTCACACTCTTATCTTTAGCGATAATGTCGTGTAATAGAAAGGAAATAGCTCACTTGGTTCGACATTTTTTTTTCTCTAACTGTGCTATGTGGTGAAAAGGAGAAAAAAAAAGAAACGATGATTTCATTTACAAGGATTAGCACAATAATGTACGTTTGAAAGGGAATCTTATTAATCAATAAGCTTGATTGAAACAAAAGAAAAATCCGAAGATTAGTGATGATGAGCAAACGTTCTTTAACTGAAGTCGTCATTAATTTGATTAATTCATCTTTTTCCGGACAACTCCACTCAGACTATTTCATGTCCCTTCTTTCCTCTCGTTTTTTTTTCGTAGCTTTCTACTGACAAATTAATGGATCTAAGTTTTTTTTTTCATGCCATATATATAAACGATTTGATTCCTTTTTTTTCTGTTACGATGTGGAACTATGCTCGTCAATATTCATAAAAATCATTTGATGAGCCGAAAAATATAATATCGAAGTTTCCTATTAGTGCTGAAATTTATCCTAATCATCTTCTAGGGAATACAAAAAAAAAGAAGATAGACGCGATGTAAAATGTTTCTATAATTTGCGATAGAAAGATTGATGATTACGATGAAATAGAACAAATTTTAATAATAACCGTATATTTTATATGCTACTTGTAGGGCGTAGATAAGCTTAAGTATTTTTGTACGAGTCTTTTTTTTAGAGAAAAAGAAACTATATGTTATATCTAATTAGATAAAAAAAACATTAATCATTCTCAATACTGCGTGAGATACATCTTTATTTATTAATTATAGAGCAAATGCGAAAACTACAACATAATGTCTCAAAACAATTTTCACTAACAAATTAATATAATAAATATATTCGTGCTTGTCGAAGACATCTAACAAAGAAGATATGAAAGTTTTTTATAAATAATTTAGAGAACTTTTTTTCATCAGTAGGATCAGTTGTGACAAAGAAAACAGCTTATTGTGCTTTTTATTATCTTGAAAATCTATGAAATACGATTGTGGAAAGATCAAAACTATTTTAATGCTTCTATACGCGTTACACAACATGTTACCATCTTGACTATGCAAATATTTTACAATAATTAAGTATTTGCTAGCTAATCTTTTTTCTCGTGCATATTGTTGTGGGAAAAGATATAGTAACAAGTTTGCTTCGGTTTCTAAAAGCTATCGATGACTGCGTAAAATTCAATAATTATTATTTGATAATCTTCTATCTTTTGACTAAAAATAAAATCTAGTAAACTAACATAAATTTATATATTTCATCATACTTATGTAGGATAGCATGACATGCTATGTGTAAGAAATAGATTAATAGATCATATGTGATTAGTAAAGTGCATTTATGAATTTTTACAACATTCATTATTAATGCTTCCAAAAAAAAAATATAAGTGTTTAAGTTTAATTATACATAAAATCTTAGTAATAAGATTATCATGACATAGAGTAACCGACAGTCATAAGATCATTTTGACATAAATACGTTCGTCTAGAAATCAAATTCAATAAGTGGGTTACTTATTAGTGACATGTAAATAAATATCCATATTCTAGTATTTGATATACATACATGGGGGTACTAGTGATATTATTATTAAGAAACTAATGTCATAAAATGGAAACTCATTACAAGAGATCATAAGTAGTGAAGATCTATACACTTACTTGATTTTTATTTGGTAGGTATTGAGGTGAATACATTATAAGATGAATATAAATTATGTATGTTCTACTTGTATGGTTTTGGTCATTTTCTGGGCGTCTGTTCTTGACAGACAAAATGCCATTATAATGTGATGCTAGACAGCTGGAGTGTGACTCTTTCACAATCTCATCTACTTGATCAAACGATTTCCAAGCTCACTTGTCATCTTTTCTCCTTTCTTCTTATAAGCGCATGTTGTTCTTCTAGAAAAAGTAATATAAAGACAATTCAACTGAATAGATTCTATTCTAGGATTCAAGCATCATATTATAAAAAAGATACACATAACTATGATAGGTATTAGCATGATACTAATACGAAAGCATAAAATTAGTTTTTTAATCTTAATACCAAAACATAAAATTAATTTTTTCTTATCCTAATAGAAAATTATAAGCATTTTTTTAACAGTGATAATAAATCAGTATCCATATGCATACAATAGTATTAAAGTTAAAACTGAATTATTTATAATATTATAAAGTAGAAGATATGATTTTCCCTTGATTATTTTCTCTTTACTTTGAATGTGCAATCAATATATAGATAAAATATTCTTTAATCTGTTGCCATTGCTATTACTCCATTGTTTCACCATTTTTACTCAACAACTCTCTTGCATTAGTGAGATAATGAAGACACACTAAGTTAAACGGCGTTTCAGTTCACCAAGATATGAATAATATTAAACAATTGCATTCACTAGCTGTCATTCAGCAAGCTACAGTTACATTTCTTCATCGCACAGCCGGACTCAAAAAGACTAAATAGATCTAAAAATAGTTTTGTGCGTTTATTGCTATAATTACAGTGAATCGTACGTCAATTACTCACTTCTGTGCACTATATAGAAGTTTTCAAAGAACAGCTGTCAGTGTTTTTTTCTTCTTTTTGTTGTTCAATAGTTTAAACTCAATAGAATATACGATAGATATTTATGTACTTATCAAATATTTTTTGAAAGGATTCACTGTATTGCTAGTTGTCTTATGATTGAATTTAACTATGACAAAACAAATCGATGATTAATCGCGTGACTATCATCAATTTTTCTATTAAAAATCGAAAAGATTATATTGCAAATTTTTCATTTCGAATTCTATTGATTTCATGATCATGTCCAACATGTTCTTTGTCGTGCCAATATTTTATAGAGAAAAAAGAGAAAAGCGACAATCATATATATATTGAACTATGATTGGTTGGTTAGGTATGCCATTTCAAATCGAACTTATTTTTGTTTTATGATGTTCGACATTATTCATTAATCTTCAAAATGGATGCCCAAGGTAGAAAAGTAATTGTATGCGATAATGGTACTGGAGTAAGTTAAAATTAAATAAAAAAAAGTTCGTTTTTTTTCAAATCATTTATTTTAGTATATTAAATGTGGTTATTGCACATCGAATTTTCCTGATTATGTATTTCCATGTATGGTTGGACGACCATTGATTCGTTCTCGTACTAAAGTTAATAATATTGAAGTTCAAGATATAATGGTCTGTGATGAAGGTAACGAAAAAAATGAACACTTGTTTTTCTTCTTTAATTATAATATTTCTTTTGTTTTTAGCACAAAAAGTTCGACAAATGCTTGAAATAAATTATCCTGTGGAAAATGGTATTGTAACTAATTGGGAAGATATGAAACATATTTATACCTATTTATTTGGTCCAAAAAAGATGAATATTGAACCTGAAAAAGCCAAAATTCTTTTAACAGAAGCACCACTTAATCCAATAAAAAATCGTGCAAAAATGTTAGAAGTTATGCTTGAACAATTTCAATTTCATGAATGTTCATTAGCTTATCAAGCTATTTTAACATTATATGCCCAAGGTATTTTAACTGGTGTTGTTGTTGATATTGGTGATGGTGTTACACATGTGTGTCCAGTTATCGATGGATTTTGTTTACAAAATTCGATTGCAAGACTTAATATTGCTGGACGAGATATAACAAAATATTTAATTCGATTATTACTTCTTCGCGGGGTAAACATGCACAAGCAAAAAACGGAATGTTAAGATTATATATTTCTTTGATTTTAGTATGTATTCAATCAATCAGCTGATTTTGATACCGTTCAACAAATCAAAGAAAAACTTTGTTATGTTGCTCATGATCTTGATCAAGAACGTCGTTTAGCATTAGATACCACTGTTTTAGTGGAAAGTTATACATTACCCGATGGTAGAACAATAAAATTATCTGGTGAAAGATTTGAAGCACCTGAGGTTCTCTTTCGTCCATCATTATTAGGCATGGAAGTTCAGGGTATTGCTGAACAAGTATTTAAAGTTATTAATAGTGCACCAATGGATGATCGAAGAAAACTTTATAAACAAATTGTACTTAGTGGTGGTACAACAATGTATCCAGGTTTTGGTACACGTCTTGAACGAGAATTAGAAAAACTCTATGAAGATCGTATTCTTAAAGGACAACCAGATAAATCAGCGAAAAATGTTATTTGTATTGAAGCACCACC